TTTTTTGAAGAAACAATTAAGAGTAATAAAATTGTTTCAGAAGAAAAATATAAATCTGATACCCCTGCTATTCCTGGGGAAACTTATGGCTCAGTGATCAAAACTAGTGTTAATGCTAGCAGCAATGGTAAATCTTATACTAACGCCGTTTATTTAAGTATGGATTTTCAAGGTCAAATTTGAAAAATTCTTAAAGAAGTTGATAAAGATAAACTTTTTGAATATATTGATTCTTCAGATTGTTCTTGAAATGCTAAGGATAAGGAAAAGTTTAAAAGAACATTTTCTCGAGTTGTAGGCTTAAAATTAAAACTTTTTGGCTTTGGTGATAAAAGTACAATGACTGGTGTAAGTAATGAGGGATATGTCAAAGAAAATATGGAAACTCACAGATATATGAGTGACATTTTCTATGTCATGCATGCTCTCTTTCCTAAAAATAAACCTAGTAAATGAAAAAATAGTCCTTTCTTAAAAAAAGGTGAGAAGAGTTGTTTACAATTCAATGATACTGACAAGAGTATTGATACTCCTTATACTGTATATTGACGAGGTGAGGATGCTAGTATTATTGGAAAGAATTATGTTACTTCTCCTGGTGGTAGTGTTAGTATTATGAGAGCTCCTTTTCCTTGTGAAGTAAAAAAATTAACTTGGGCCAATGGTCAAATCCCTGAATTCTTTTGACAAGTTTATGATAATGATGAAGTGATTGATTTTAGTGCCTGTCATACAGTATTAAGTTCTGATGCAGTTAATGATGAAGTGATTCGAGATGGAATATCTGTTTATGAGAATAAAATTCGTCTTAAATATTCTTTACTTACCAATAGTAGTATTTTGGTTGATAAATATGAAAAATATGTTGAAAATTTACTCAAAGGTTTAACAGAGGCAGGTACTACTACTCCTATCTTTCAAAAAGGAGAATTAGAAAGTCTTCAAGGTGAGTGAAGGGTTATTGCTCGAGAAATTTTATCAACTTTTAAAAACAAAACCTTTTCAACTTTCTCCAGAAGAGCAAAAAATTTGAAATATGAAGACATAAAAGATAAAATTTCTATTTTTCCTTCTTATACTATTAAATTAATAGAGGCATATCCAGGAAATGAAGTAGTTGACAAATTCGATGATGATGTGACAAATGAAAATAGTACAATCAATAAATGAAATGAATGAGTAAGAATTACTTCTACTAAAAGAGAAGCTTTAAATGCAGCAAAGGCTAAATTAGGTGCAAAGTGGAGTGAATTAGCTGAAGTTAATGCTGAAAAAGATAAAATTAATACTGAAAAAAAAGCAATAGAAGATGGAAAAAATAAAGCCAAAAAAGGTAGAGTAAGTGGTTTGATCACTCAATTTAAAACTCTGCGAGATAAAGCAGGCAAAAGAAGTTATCGAGAGTTATTATTTATGCACAATATTTTGGGTTGGATTAAAAAGTGAGAAGTTTTAAAAACTGATGCTACTTTTGACCCTGCTGTTGAATTAGCCAAATTAGATGCAGCTGAAACTGATAATCAAGAAAAACTAGTTAAATATAATAATTGAGTTAAAAAGGGTAGTCACTTTGTTGAAAGATTAGAGAATTGAAAAAATGATGATGGTAAATTCTTTAATGAAGAAGCAGTAAAGCGTTATTTAAGAGGAATAAAAGATGCTTTAGAATCAGTGGGACGGGAATTAGATCCTGTGGAACAAAATGAGTTAGATCAACTTACTTACTATATTGAGAATGGTGAAGTTCCTCCTCCTGAAAGGAGAATTCTTCCAATGGAACTAAAAGGAGCTTTAGGAGTCAAAACTAATGTGTTTAGTGATCTAACAAGAAAATGAATTGCTTATTCCAAAAATGTTGATTTTAAAACCAATGCTAATGAAATTAAAAATATTGCTGACAAAGTTAATGGAGCAAGCAGTAAAATCAATAAAGCTGAATTGGTTAAATACTGTAAAGAAACTCTAGCTAAAAAATCTGAACTAATTGAAGATGATACTTATGACCTTCCCCAAGCCAATGCTAACAATCAAGAGTGATTAGACTGATTCTTTACGCGGGATCCGGAAGTAGTGGTGGGAACGATTGCTTTACACGAATTAAAAGCCGATAATAATCTTAAAGAACGAATCTTGCAAGAAATGAAAGATTATAAAAACAGTAAAGATCAGCTCATCTTATTAGATCGCACTATTTATGGAGATGGAGAAAACTTTACTGAAGAAGGAATTGTTAAATATTATGCAGAAAAGTTAGGAGGTCAAAATCATGCTACTAAGAAGTATGAAAAGCCTTTTAAAGATGGTATCCAAGAACCTCCTTTCTGACGTTGAAATAATCCAGGAGCAATCTTCTCTGTCTTGGGAATCCTGCTCTTAATTGGTGGCAGTCTTTGAGCTTGGCTAAAAAGAAAACAAATCTCCATTTGATGAAATTCACCTGCTGAACTAGAAGATGAGGATGATGAAGAGGATGATGATTAATAATGATTTGATTGTTTATTCTGCCAGTCTTCTTTTCTTTCTTGGTTTATCATGTATTGGTGTTAATGCTCGTTTATTAGTTATGATTTTCCGTTCCTCTTGATAAATTTCATAAGTAATTTTTTCTTGATCTAGATATTCCTGGAGTGTTTGGGTATCATTGATTTTGAAAATGTATGGAGCAATTTTTTCTCCTTGAGCTTTCTTTAAAATACTTCTAATGGTGCTGTAATTCTTGGGTTCCATTGTGGATTTAATGTAAATTAGTTTCATATTAATATTTTTATATATAGAGTTAATCCTATATTAATCCTGTTATGGTTTATATTCATCACATTCTGGTATGATAAGGTGAGCATTAAAATTAACAAGTCCATAAGTCATGAATGAGCACCATTTATCATTATTACTTTCCAAAACATCATCAGTCACACTGGTCAATTTTACAGCCACTCATTTATAGAATGTTCACTTTGTCTGGTTTTGTTGCAGCATGCCCCATATAATAAATAAATAGATTAAATAATAAATAGACGTGTATATTAGATAAGCTATACATTGTTAACTTGACGCATCTCTTCCCGAACCATCCACAATAATTGATAATGTTGAGTTAATTCTTTGGCCGTCATACCATCGGGGCGGTACATATATTCGAGCCATTTCTGTACTATGATATTTACAGCTCGGATCTTTTTTACCGTTTCTCGAATATGTTTAACTCTATTGATAAAATTTTCTATTCGTAATTTATACCGATAAATAGCTAACTTTGTATAAATATCACATTCAGCTTCTGGTTCTTGTTTAAGCTCCATATACGTGTATTCTTTGAAACTTATATCACAATGTCTATTTCCAGTACAATTTGTACGCCAATGTTCCTCCATCTTATAATTGTGATATAATTCATATCCTACTCTTTTATCGACATAATAATAAACAAATTGATCACAGCTATAACATATTTGCTATATTTACTTTAACAGCTAAGCCATAGCTAAATCCTTCCATATATTCCATCTTTCTAGCAATAAGATATCGCTTATTATAATCAGTTAATTTACTGCTATTTCTATAATTTATTAACTGATCCCAGATTCGGTTCTTCCAATCAGATGGTGTTTCTCCATCACGAATTACTGGAAATTGGCAGTTATCCCTCCACTCGATATCGTTTAAAACTGGGCATTTATCTGTATAGACTATATTTAACGATTAAGTAATTTATAGTGTTTCGAGATTATGAGAAATTTAGGGATTTGGACCTATTAGATTTGGTTTGATATATATGATTAAAACCAGATTCATTTTTTTGTGTAGAATTTGAATAGAAATTTATCTATATAAAACTTTGCTAATTCTCAATGCGGTTAAAAATAACCTTAAATGATGCTTGTAATATTGCCAAAGCTCGTGGTGGTTCATGTCTCTCAGATACATATATCAATATTTCTACACCATTAAGATGGAAATGTAATCAGGGACATGAATGGAATGCTCCACTTAATAGAATAAGAAATCAAAATCGTTGGTGTCCTGTTTGTGTAGGTCGACATCTTTTTCATCTTGAAATTGCTAAAAAGATTGCTATAGATAGAGGTGGATTGTGTCACTATTATTATGGCGCTGTGCTGTAAGTCATGAATGTATGGTGTCCACATTGTGTAAGAGGTAGACCCCGATATACCCTTGAAGATGCTAGAAAAATTGCGCATGATAGAAATGGGAAATGTCTTTCTAAAAAATATATTAATAGCATGACAGCTTTATTGTGGCGTTGTTCTAAAGGGCATAATGGAATGCAACATTCAATAGCATTAAAAATGCAAATTCATGGTGTCCCATTGTTCTGGACGATATGCTTGTAATATTAATCAAGCCAAGAAAATTGCATTTAACCGGAATGGTGAGTGTCTCTCTACCTCATATTTTAATAACTATTCAGATTTATTATGGAAATTTGCCAAAGGGCATACATGTATGCACCGCTTTGTGAAGTTAAAAATCAAAATAATTGGTGTCCATTTTGTCGTTTGCATAAACGTGAGAATTTATGTCGTGAAATTATTTCTAACTATTTGGGATCACCTTCAGATATTCGCCGACCAGATTTCTTGAAAATTCCAGAGCACCCTAAGGGATTAGAACTTGATATTTATTACCCACAATATAGAAATCCAAGGAGTACAACACGAATTCTTTCATGAAGGCGATCCCAATAATTTTATTAAACAGCAAGCACGGGATCAACTCAAAAATGAATTGTGCAAAGAAAATTGGATCGTTTTAAGGTATGTCTGGTATTGCGAAGACCCGTATGTAGTTATTCCGAGACACCTTCGAGAATTAGGTCTTATTGAATAACGTTAAAAAATGGAATAAAATGCACAGAAGAAACGTGGAATCTAGGCTAATATGATTGGCTGACGACTAGCAGTAAAAAAAAAGCCGATAATCGAGATTTCGTCGATCTTTTGATTTCCTAACACGATGCTTTTCTTTCGCCCGTTTATACGATGTTATGCAGATGGTCATCACAAAAAAGGATTAAGCTTGCTAACCAATTTGGCAAAGTACAAGTTTCTCAAGTGTCCAAAAATTCAAAAAAGAAACCTGGGCTATGATAATACCAAAAAACATTTTCCTTCGGTCGAAGAAATCAAGAAATGGAAGACGGAACAAGTTATTACTTTTTTGGAGTCCAAAAAAGACGAGTTACGACTTGAAGAAGTTGACTTTAATATAATCAATAGGAACATGATTTCCGGTTCAAGCTTCCTTTTATTGACAGAAGAAAAGCTCAGAAATATTGGGCTATCGCTTAGTCCAGCAATAACAATTGCACACTTGGTTAAAGAAATTTCAAAAGCATTTCCTCCGGAACCTAATGATCTTGTGTACATTTTTGTCGACAACTCTAATATCACTATTGAGGGAAAATATACCGTTGGCGACCTTGAATGCCTTGGTTCATTTGATTACGAAAGAAGTACACATTACTTTAGTCAACTTCGTATTGATTATGGTCGACTTCTTAAAACTGTTCAGCATGGACATACAGTGTGTTACAAAATTATTCGGAATTTTTTACGCGTGACATAAACACGTCTAGCGCGCTGTGTACGCATGCAAT